TACACGTCAGCCCCTGAACTCAACACTTCAGGTCACCAGCACCTCAGCATTGGCCCTGCCCTTATACAGTTAGTGGCAAGGCTGTACAAATGGCCACCCCCCCTCCTCTGTCACAGGCCAGAACGAGCAAACTCCTGACTGTATGTTTGTTCCCTGCACTGGGGAGCATCTCTGATGAACACTGGGGCACCAGGATGCCCTTAGCTATTTACTCCCACGGGACCACTGTTTCAGGGTGAATGAGAAAGCAGGCTCAGAGAGCCTGCTCAGGACCAAGGTCAGCCCTGCTTAGCTCAGACCATGGCAGATGCTCTGGCCTGCCTCTGCTTCAGCTGCTTTTGGTCCATCATCTTTATCAGCTGATAATTGCCCAGCGCCTCACTTGGCAAGACAGTGGACAGTTCTGTTGTTTGCACTGCTTTATGTCATTCTCTTTAAGTTTTGGACTTTGTGGGCTCCTAGAATTGAGGAGTCATAAGTGAGAGTTATGGTTTCCTCAGTTCTGAACACAGCAGATCCCAGGTCAAGGCTAAAGCCTCACAGAGGAATCAGACTCTGGGTAGGAGCCATGGTCACACTCATTTTCAGATTCAGGCCTATGAAATGCACTCATTTACTACCTTTCAGAAGTGGCCTGGGAAGTTTGATGAAAAAGTTCCCCATGATTCACAATGAGTGTCTTCTTTTCTGGTTGTGCTCAATCATTTTGCACACCCAGTACCTTATGGAAGTTTCTCTGGGTGCATTCTATCCCAAATTGTTCCTAAAAGGCTGCCACAGCCGGCAGCAGATCCTCTTCTGTGCCCTCATGAGCTGACGTCAGTGAGGCACATGTTAGAAAGGCTGGGCAACAACAGAAACAAAGAACAGAGTCTCAGTGGGCAGCTTCCTACACCCTTTCTCCTGCTGGCCATCTACAGCAGGTTCCCTCAGGGTCCTCAAGGCCCACCGGTTTGCGATGGCTTCATTGTGGCCCTTTGCTCACAGGCCAACAGAGAGCTATGAGTGACATGAAAGGACTTTAGGCATGTGGTCAGCAGCACTTACTCTCCAGGGCTTCAGCACTGGCAAGAATGACATTATAATCCAGGGTCACCTCTGAATTCCTGGGCTCCCTCCTCTCTCTCCCTCTAGCAGTCAGGTTGTAGAGCACATCATGTTAGTCAGCGGGAGAAAAATATCAGTATGATCCAGACTGTCTGGCAGAGCTTCAGAGGGGCCCCCAGTCCTATGTGGGACCTCATTCCAGCTCAGTGGCAAGGAGATAGCAGCTGTGCTAGAGCATTCAGAAAAAGCTGGTCAGGGAAGTGCAGGGAACCAGGACATCAGCAGCAATATGGGCAAGTGCTACACCCATGCCAGTGTCGCCATAGTAGCATAAGCTACAGGGCGGGGGATATGATTTCTCCGGAAATAAGCCCCCTGGAAGGTCCCTGGCAAACTCATCCCACTTGGAAAAGAGACGTGTTCTGAGATTTCTACGCTTCTTCAGTTGTGGCTCTGGGGCTGGAATAATGAATTCTTTGATCTTTCTCTGTGACACCTAAAACAGCACAACTAATTTTATAAAGAAATTTATTATAAATAGATTGTTAAAGGCTTTAATAAAATAATATGTAAAAGGAATAAGTTTAAGAAAAGTAATGAATTAGATTTAGTATCAGAAGACATTATAAGAATAGAGAAAGAAATAATGGGCTCCTTCTTAAGAAATAATAACAGGAGAAGTACAGCTGGCACAAGTTTACCCCTCCCTTCAGCATCTTGTTTCTAGGGAAGATCATAAATCTTTAGCAGGACATAAGGAAGGATGGTTGACAAAGGTGTGTTTAGACTTTGGCAGGTATTCGACTTGGCTCGGAGGACTATTACAGCTCCTGACTTTCCTCTTCACTAGTCAGTGATAATGAAAACATAGTTTGAGGTTTTTGTTTCTTGTTTGCGTTGATCAGAAAGTTTCTAGGCAAAGATTTCTTGTGGGCACTGCCCTATGTTAAAACATAACATTCAGACTTGGTAAAAGTCTGAATGTTCTGGAAAGCATGCCAATTTTAAGGTGCTTCCTTGTAAGATCACTATAAAAATACTAGCTTGACTTCAGTAAAGTTGCAGCAGAGTCAAAACCATCAAGGTGTCTCTGTCTGTCAATTCTTCGCCGAAACCATGTCTTCCTGTCCAAAGCCTTGTTCTCCCGCGGACGACGGGAGCCCGACTGGGCCGGTCCATGGCAGGCAAGGGCAGAACAGGCAGAAGAACATAACCTCTGTTAACAAGGTATGCCCAAAGTGCTACTTCCTGAATGCTCTCCCAGGACCCCCAGGTCACAGGGTCAAGGAGACATTTGAGTTCATGTGTAGGATTCTTGGCTTTCCTGAATTGTCTGGGCAAAGAAGACCCATGGCTAGGGGCTAGGGCAAGGCTATTTATACCTGAGTTGTGAAGATGTCAAACTATGCCATCCCTAAATAAACAGCTGTTCCACACGGCCACACCTTTCCCAGATGCCTGGCCCTCACATTTGGGAACCTTTCACATTTGGATGTCCACGGTTACAGTTCTCACTTATCAGTGCCCCTTTACTCTGCTTTCCATCTTGGTCATCTTTCATCAAAGTGGCCATGCGTAGGCCTCAAAGACAGTTCAATATCCTGTACATCACCCATAGGGAAGGGGCTCAGGAGGAGTCTGGGCTGCTACTATGGAGAGGTCTAGTTTGTGAGGACAGGCTGATGCTAGTCACAATGCTCAGACTTCCTTCTTTTCAAGAGAAACAAGAACCATGTGGCCATTAGTTTGCTGTGGGAACTTATTCTGGATAGGGCAGGGGAGAAGGCAAAAGTGGAGCCTGAAATGCCAGTGGGCTTCTGATATGGCCAGGGTTTTTGCTTACTTGGGTCAGATCACTGGTGGTCTGGCACTCCTCAGCTCTTCTTCCAAGCCAAGCCCCAGGTCTTGGAGCTAACTTAGTATATGGAAAATTCACTGTGGACTTTGGAAGACATAACACCCTTAACAAGGTCTCTAAGGCTGTTACTGACTGTTCCTTCCAATTAGACACCAAGTGTGGTATTTTAAATAGGATTGGCCCCATAGGCTTATATATTTGAAAGGTTGGTTGTTAGGGGTGCTGCTATTTGACAGGGATTAGGAGGTGTGGCCACAGATTTCAAGACATGAACTAGATGAACACTACTTTTTGTGGATGAAACCAGTCTCCACCAGCCTGCAGAGAGAATGAGCCAGGCCTTGAGTCACAAACCCACAGTGGTCGTACTTTACCAATACTCTGCAATGCCTGGGGACACAGGACCTTTCTGCTTTCACCTGCTCAGAGCAGCTCAGGCTCATGACAGGACCCTGGCCAGCCTTCCTGGCTCATATACCTCTGCCCTACTGAGGCATCCGTTCATGATAGCAAGGGAAAAGAGGAAAATAAGTTGTTCCCACATTACAGTGAGAATACACCTAAGTGTTACAAAGAATGTTCACTTTAAACGTTTAAAGGTGGGAACACTGGGCATGAGAAACAAAGAAGCTTGTAGCTGGTCATGGGCTAGCCAAATGGACCTAATAAGCGATAGACAGAGGCTCTGAGAAATAAGGCCAGTGTTAGTGGGCTAGCTAGGATCCATGAGACCCTTTGTGGTCTCATGCTAGGGATTGTTGCTCTTTTACATATTATTGCTTTTAAAGCGAATACTTATAAGGGGCTAAATTGTAAGTAAGGACAGTTTCTAGATGCCTCCATTCATTTTAGGAGAGATTCCAAATTACATGAGGTAGCTAGGAACAGTGATGAGCACAAGCCACCCAAACAAATGTGAGAACAAAGAGCACAGCCAGCAAGACACCTGTAAGGTTTACAACTAGCAGGCCAATGACTAGCAGTCAAGATCAACAGCTAAAAGAGGGCTTCAAAGATGAGCAAAGGTAGACTTCAGCCACCCCTAACTGGGCAGGCAGGACATGAACTGAGCATGATCATCTTGCTTTGGCCAGAGGAACAGGCACAGAGTGTGGGGCCTTCTAAGGCTCTGAAACTGTGAGCCCGCCCTCAATTAAATGTTTTTCTCGTAAGAGTTGCCTTGGTCATGGTGTCTCTTCACAGCAATAGGACAGTGACTAAGACACTCACCATCATCACCAATGCCACTGCCATTATCTCCACAGGTAAAGAAATCAAGAATCAAAAGGTAAATTTATTTATCAAACTTGATGGAGTAAAAACTTACTACTTTGACTTGAAGCTTATTTCTAAGTTTAAATCCTTTAATCTACATACAAAATCTCAGTTAATCCTGTGAATATGATTTAAAAGTTTGTGTAAAAGAAAACTAGAACGAATAAAGAACCACAATTCACCATCATAAGACACCTTTACCTCTGCATCCTAATCTTGTGATAGTCTTAGATGGCTAGGTAAACTCATCAGCTTCGTGTGCTTATGCTGTCTGGTGTCACTAACTACTTCCACCCTCTCCCCCTGCGACAGACTCTAGGGCCTCCAGCATGGCTCCAGCATGCCAGGCATGTTAGATTCTGCAAGGCTGACTGAAAAGAGCACTCTGACTGAGGAGAGTTGGAATGTTGCAAATCCAGAGCCAAATTAACTTGGGTTATCTTTAGTTCCATTAATATCTTTTCATTGTCTGATCTAACATCTTTGTGACTACCATGTGAAACCTTTTGGAAGGTATTAAGAAATAATTAGTAACAATAATTAGTAATAATCAGTAATAATTAACCCAAAAGCTAAGAATGCCAACAACACCTGAAACCCACAGCACAGATTTCCCAACTCTGTTACAACCTGCTTACATGATATTCTTACCAATGTATCTGCAAACCTCTTTGACTTTCTTTTTCTCTTAACTGTAAAACATGTTATTTGAGGCAACGTGAACTCACATTTCTGGACAATGGCTACAGAATAAACCACTCCTTGCTTTCTTTGACGTGAAAGCTTTCTTTGAAGTGAAAGCTTTCTTTTGTGTTGTCAGTGAGCATTCCATCGCCACTCAGCAAACACTGTCTCAGAAGCTGGAATGGCAGCACCTAAGAGGAGAGGCAAAGGGTCCCAGCTCTAAGGTCAATCAGCACTTTACAGAGATTTCCAGGTAGGCCTGGGCTTCAGTGTGATGCTAAAAACTAAAACAACAAAAGACTTTCACCATTCTGGTGTCTTTGCTTCTTCTGTCACTTTTCTTTTTCCCTCTCGATCCAGGTGTGGCGATCTGGATGAGGAATCTCCCCCATAAGGCTTATGTATTTGGGCACTTGATCCCTAGTTAGTGGCACTGGGAAAGCTTTGGAACCTCAGGAGGTGGAGTCTTGCTGGAAAAAGCATGTCACTGGCTTTGAGGTTTAAGTTTAAGCCTTGCCTTACTTCCTGCATGTGGACGAGAACGTATGTGATCAGCCAGTGAGCGACCTGACCTGCTCCCTCTCCTGCTGTTATGGACCCTGCCTCTTTGGAACAGTAAGCACAAATAAACCCTTTCTTCCTTAAGCTGGTTTTAGTCATGGTATTTGATTACACTCACAGCAAAGGAACCAACATACCAGGCTTCCTCTAGGTGGAAAGCATGGCCTCAAAGACGCAGTGGAAGGACACAATTTAACCTCAAATGCACCAAGAATCCCAGAATACTGTTCATGCTGGCACTGATGGCCTCTGTGGAGGGAGCCTTCCTACCCACCTCTGACCCACTCTCAGCAGTGCAGTGTGAGGTGCCTGAGACCCTGTGAAAACCCCAGTAATTGTTAGTAGATCTTTGACACTGTGTCCTAGCACACTATATACTTGCTATCATTTTATGTAGTTTATAGAATTGTCTCCAAAATGAGAGTCAGCTCTGGGAGGCCAGGGCCTGTGCTAGCCACATGTCTAAATGACACTGGGAAACTAGCAAAACCAGACTTGGCCAGTAGGCTGGTGTTCATGATCCTTCCTATATGGCTGGTGCACACCCAGAAGGCTCTTCATTAACAGGTTTAAGCTGCTGTTGCCATGGTCAGGGACACTCTGGTCACACCAGTCCTTGCCACACACACCTGCTATAGTTCTACAGTTCACTCATCTCATTCTAACCCAGCTCTCCTTTAGCCTGAAAGTAAGGGGTTGTCTTGGTCTGAACTGGCATCTCGGTGGTGAACAAACACCTTGTTATGGTTGGAATCTTAATGTCCCCAAAGGACCTACATGGGCACTGCTGGGAGGTTTTGGAAACTTTAGGGGATGGGGACTCGAAGAAGAAAGATTCCTGGGAGTGTGGCCATGAATGAGATACTGGACCTCTTCTTTGCCCTCTTTTTTTGATTCTGGGCTGCCATGAGGTGAACAGCTTTTCTCCAGCCTATGTGGTTTGCAGTGAGATGTGGCCTCACCAATGGCGCAAAATCAAGAAATCTAACCAACTAGGGTCTGAAACCTCTGATAGAATAAGTCCGCACAAACCTTTCTTCCTTGTAAATTGAAATGGACTAACACCCACATGTCTCTCTTGCCAGTTCCACAGACAGCTCCCAGCACAAAGGAGCCATAACCTGCCCCCAGTGCTTGACACAGTCCTTGTACCCTCTCTGAGGAATGCAGGAAAGGATTCCAAGAAGAGACCTTGTTCAAGATCCCAGGTAGGGTGAGAAGCCAGAAGGTAGGCTGGGTGCCAGCAAAGGTGAATCTGGCAAGGGAGTGCTCCCTTCCTGAGCGGCTCCTCCAGGCAGTTCTCACGGACATGGCAACACAACAGCTTCAGTACACTCATGATTGAAGAAGTCCTGGATCTGGAAGACTACTCTTAGGCTTCACATGAGTTCAGTGACAAAAGCTGTCTCAGGGGTTTTGTTTTGACCTGTCAGTCTCAAATATGATCCAGTAATATACAATGTTCTTTGGGTCAATTTCTGATGTGTTTTGGTTCACACAGGGTAGATTATCTATTGCTCTCAACAGCAAGAGGAAGAAAACCCTGACCCAGGATCTAACCCTGACAATAATGCCTGCCAGAGTGACAAGCCCTATTCCAGGATAATTTGTAGAGATGTCACCTTTCGCCTTTGCTGTGTTCAGTTTCTTCACTGGAGTGACATATTCCCATCACTTAGTTTTGGGATCCTAGTACAGAAAGCTGCAGAGTTTAAAAACAATCTCGAGTGCTTTTATTATCCAGGGCTTGTTACTGTTTTTACTGACGGAAACACCCTAAATTGTGCTAAGGCAGAGCAGTGGAGCCCCCAGAGATGCAAGAACACAAATGTTCCTTTCTATTGGAATAAGTGGTAAAGGAAGCCCTTTACATCTTCAGTCCTTGGGAAGTGTCCGGACAGAGCCGGGCCACCAGTGCAATTGATTATAATGCTGAAGCTCAGGGACTAGAAACCAATCCTTCAAGATGATGGGGAGATCAGTACAGCTGCTATAAATACTCACACATCCAAGGGATGCAAACTGCAGAAAGGCACAGCACAAGGAAATGTATGTAGAAATAGCTAAGGAACAGTGTAAGGATGATTTTGTACACTTGTACCTCAAAGATATGGACACATGCCCACACAGGAAGGTGTCCGAGGATATCCCCAGCAGTATAAGTCACAGCTACAAAGAAGTAGAAAGAACACAAATGCATGTTGAGTGGTGAGAAGATGGCGGTAAAGGTGGCAGATCCACATGAACTATTAATCATAAAAGGAATGAAATTTGGATATAAGCCACAAGGTGGATGACCTGGGTAACATTATGTTAAGTGAAAGAAGCCACAGACATAGAAGGTCACACTTTGTTTGAATCCGCTCATCTGAAATAACTAGAACATGCAGTCTGTAAAGACTGGATACAGATTATTTAGTTGGGAATGGATAGAGAAGAAGGGAGAATGAGGAATGACTGAATGATTGTGGGGTTCCTGAATGGTACCCTGAAATGTTTTAAAACTGATTTTGTTTGCCACACACAGACGACCCTAAAAACAGGAATACACTTCAAATAGGTATAGTTTATGGCATGGTGAATCTCCGTGAAGATGGAAAAGATGCTAAACGACTTTGTAGTTATTGCTGCAATGCCAACTAGACAGTGTTGTCCTATGTGACATGGGGCCACTGGACATTTGAATCATGGCTGGTCCAAGCTGAGATGCTCTTTGATCATATACATAGAGTTTTCAAGATTAGTTTTAAATACACTGAGTTTAAGACAATATAATCCTAGACCTAAGCTTTCCTGATTATTTTTTTTTAAATACTGTTATTAGGTAACAATTCTTGGCTGGCTTGAATTTATACCTTTTATTATATTTCTTTTGGATACTACAGATTTGATATCTTTTAAAATAAATTTTTAATTGTTAAAATGTTTTTTTTTAAGTTGGCAAAGTACACATTATTTTATTTTGCAATTCACCATGTTCACGTTGGCTTTTCTTTCTGAAATACATATATGTGAATGGAAAGTTGACACATGTACTACAGAGAGGACCTTTATACTCCTTGCCCCCTTTCCATTTTCCTTGTGGTACACACTTGCAGAAATACCAGGGGAAGTGACACTCCATCTATCTATCTATCTATCTATCTATCTATCTATCTATCTATCTATCTATCTAATCACACTTCAGCTCTCAGGGGAGTCTGGGGATGCAGAGGGAACAGCATCTGGAAGTTGGTTCTCAATCAGATCAATAATGTTCCTTTAGGAACAATAAAAACCAAGTAGAGCTCAAATGTAGGTTTCTCACATTTTATAGATCTGCCAATGTTCAAAGGACTGCACCTGAAAAATAGTCTACCCATCATCTCACAAACCCCCGCACCTAGCTCAAATTGTGGGTGTCAAGGACTTGCAGAATCAGGATACCCAAGGGCCTTGCAGACATGAGCCCTGTCTATGGCTCACCAATCACTAAAGGCTAAATGAAGCTGTCAGGTTTGACAGTAGCTGCATATACTCCCCTTGAGGAATATCAAAGTAACAAGGTTGCTGGGCTGACTGACAGCTGATAAAAAGGACCACCCTTAACTTTTGCCTTTTCAGGGAGAGAAATCATGGCTGCAGATATCATGGTCCACTTTGAATGAGCTGACAAGTCACATCTCCACAGCAATTCCGAGAACGTGTGTAGAGAACCCTCTCTGTTCACACACCGTGTTCACACTACCTGGACATGAAGCACTGTGGGGGAAAGGAATGCACTCACTGGTTCTGCTTTCCCTCACAGTTCTGAGAAAGTTCCCGTTTCACTTATGGGGTTATACACGTATCTGTAACTTACCACATATAAATACGCACAAAAATGCCTTTGGGCAGAGTGCAGGGAGTCTTATGAAAGAAGTGGGAAATAGTAAGACCTGGAGAGGACAGAAGCTCCACAAGGAAAGCAATAGAACCAAAATATCTGGGCACAGGGATCTTTTGTGAGACTCATACTCCAACCAAGTACCATGCAATGAGATAACCTAGAACCCCTGCACAGATGAAGCCCATGGCAGTTCAGTATCCAAGTGGGTTCCCTAGTAATGGAAACAGGGACTGTCTCTGACATGAACTGATTGGCCTGCTCTTTGATCACCTCCCTCTGAGGGGGGAGCAGCCTTACCAGATCACAGAGGAAGACAATGCAGCCACTCCTGATGAGGCCTGATAGACGAGGATCAGAAGAAAGGAGAGGAAGACCTCCCCTATCAGAGGACTTGGGGAGGGGCATGTGTGGAGAAGGGGGAGAGAAGGTAGGATTGGAAAGGGAGGAGGGAGGGAGCTACAGGGGGGATACAAAGTGAATAAAGTGTAATTAATAAAAATTAAAGTAAAAAACCTGCTGAAAAAAATAATATTAAATTTGTTGAAAATCTACAAGTGGGAAAGCTTTTGAGTGGATTCAGCAGGAAAACTTAAAAAGAACATTCTTTTCATACTAAAAAGCAGTCATGGGAGGGCATGATGACAGATCATTTTTATCTCAGGCTTTCCAAAATTTTATTTTTAAAAAAATGGATATGAAAGTGGACATGTTGGACAGCACATTTTGGATAGTTGTCATTGTCTGATAGGAGTTGAACAGGCAGGGGTGAGGAATTGCCTAGAAGAAACATAAAGACTGGCATGGGTGTAAACATGGCACAGCACTACCTTGAACCATGAAGGCTCAGAAGAAGCCCTCCTGTGGCTGGAGGTGTCTCAGGGCTGAGTATTTGCCTAGTACTTGTAATGTCTTTGCTTCCACAGCACTGAAAAGAGGAAGAAAAACTGAAATCCTGATTCCATGTACTTTATCCCAGGTAGGAAGGACTTCAGACTGTGCTGATGCTTTCCTTGAGTCACACAAAGCCAATGATTCCTTTGCTCTGAGGTGGTGTTTACGCAGCAGATTTTTGAAAATACATGTAGCCAATAACCTACTTTCTCTCCGGAGATTTCATGTGAATGGAATCATACATTTGCCATACTCATGTAGGTTGTGAAATGCGTCAGCTGTTCATGACTCTGAGATTATGAGTTGTTTCCATCTTTGGATATTTTTTTCATACATCTGTTTCAATTGTTTTTGGAGTGTGCCTGCTGGTCAGGATGGTAAAAGCTCCCCAGGTGATTCTAGGGATTGTTTAGGCCAAGACTCAGACTTAGGTTGGTTAGGATCAGCCATCAGTTTTTATACAACTGGAGCAACAACAACAGAAACCCTAAAATAAACAAATGAAGAAACAAAACGATGAAGTTGGCAAATCGGGATACTAAAGCTAAATATTTCATCAAATTAGTTATAAAGAAAAGGGAGATATACATGTAAGTGGAAACTACAGACTTCTTTTAAAGACATTTAAGAGAGACATCATCTGGACCTCTATTTTAATCCCAGTTCAAAAACACATTTGGCAAAATTATATTTGAGCTATAAGGAAAATGTGAACATTTGCATATCATTAAATTTATTAATATGGCAATATTCTTGAAATAATGCTTTAGGAGAATATTAAGTTTAGATCCACACTAAAATAATTTTCCGTGGAATGATAAAACCTTCCTCAAAATAATATGGGATAATGTGGGCATAAACACAGGTTACAAAACAGTTGTGGCCCTGTTCATGTAGCTGTCATAGACGCTGGATGGGTAACACGGCTTGTTAGATTATTGTCTTGTGTATGTACTCAGTTTTTTCAGTAAGAGAATGTTAAAAAAATCTCAACCACCGGAAATCATCATCTCCTTCCCAGGACATTGCAGAAAAGAGATTCCCTGCAGGTAAGATTTTTATGGCTATGGAATTAGCTCCCGAGGTGGGGCTTACTCCTATGCTTTGGGCCCAGTCTCCTTCAAAGACAAGACTCTCGTTTTAGGTTTTCCTACTGAATCCACTTAAAAGCATTTTTTACTCTTAGAATTGAGATAAGCCTAATGCTATTTTTGGGTGTGGTAAGGTCTAGTATAGGCACGACTGTATAGTTCTAGGGCACTAGGAACTCCACACAGCAATACTGTGACTGTGGCATGGCCCCCATAGGCTCACTTGTTTAACTACATGGTCCCCAGCCTGGTAGCTCTGTTTGGGAGGGTTGATGAAGTGGAGCCTCACTGGACGATGTGCATTCCTTGGGGCAGGCAGGCCATGAGGCTTTACAGCTCAGCTGCACTTCTGGTCACGCTCTGCTTTCTGAGTGCAGGCGCAATGTGCCCAGTGAACCTTCTAGTTCCCCTGCCATGCTGGACTGCATCTCCCTGGAACTGTAAGCCAAAACTAACTCTTTCTCCTTAAGCTGCATGTGTCAGGGTGCATTTTATCACAGTGACTAGGACTGCTCTCAGTGCAGCACTCTAGAGTATCTCACCCTCACTAACAGAAACTGCCTCCCTTCAACACTAATCTCCCACTCACTTCTCCTAGGTCCTTTGTTCACCATTCTACTTTTGGTTTCTGAGTTTGACTACTGTAGAAAAAATTCCTTTAGAATGAGAAATGGGCAGCTGGCTCAGGTATAAGTGGACTCATATCGTTATGTGCTCTTTGTGACTGGTGTATTTCCCTCATCTTGTAGTTTGTAACAGAATTCTTTCCCCCTGAAGGCAGACATTTCCTTGTGTTCCCAGACCATGGTTCCCTACTGTTGAGAACGATGTTGCTCTGAACACTGGTTCTGTCCTCTGGAGTATATATAAACATGATGTTTATTTTCAGAGGATGTGGGGTCATATGGTAATCCTTTCACATATCCTTCCAGATGACTTGTCTAATGTTTCCTGCTGCCTTCTGGAATGGGACTGGACTGAGGGAGGAGGAAGAGGAGGAAGTCAGATAATATAGAGAAGAGTATGAGCTTTGTGTGAAGAAAAGCTGATGACAATGCTTTCTTTGTCAATCGCTGGGTACATCATTTAACCCTGAAGCCTCAGAATGCAGAAAGAGATGTTACTGGTCTTATAGAAATTACAGAGTGTTTAGATAATGTCACTGGCTGGAAGGTGGCATTCAGTGAGTGGCCCCACTAAGATTCCTTCCTCTGCAACAGCCCTTGGTGTTGGTTAGGAGGTGACTGCCATACAGGTCCTTGCCACAGGTTCTCCTGATGGACAGTTACATAGCTCTGAGGACCTGTGGGGTCCTGGGCCAACTGTGCATTTCTCATTCTAAAGGACTTTTCATAGAAAGACCTTTTCTACTCACTTAAAGCACAACAGCTTTGGGTAAAACTATAGTTGTGCATATATTACTGTAATTAATCTTAGAACATTTTTTGCTACCTTTGACAGACTCATCACATTTGCTATGTGACACCTTACTGCAGTTTTAATAAATTTGTTTCCTCAAATGAATGAAAGAATTTAATCCCCAAATTCTTCACTGAGTGGTGGCAAAGGCTGGAAGCCTAATGTGACCACCAACAGTGTACAAGGCCTTGGATGTGGCTGGATGTCACTGGGTGACGCTCCTGTGACTACATACAGACTTCCTTCTGCTGTGACCCTGGTGGGGTAGTGTTTTGTCAGAGCCTGTGCCATGCTGTTTATTTTCAGAACCATGAGCCAAAATATACCTTTTCCATCATTTATGTAAAGTATTCTGACTCAGGAGTTTAGTTGTATTATTAAAAAGCTGACTAATACATGACTCCTCATACTTTCCAAAGTTCTCAGTCCCCGTCAATGACTAATCTTTTTGATTCTTGGTTTTTCTGTTCTGTTCATAAAAACAAAACCATACAGTATATACTCCTGTATGGATTTTTTCATACAGCATCATGTTTTCAAAAGTTATCTTTATTAGTCCTTTATTACTCCCTTTTAATACCAAATATATATCATCATATAAAAATGATATTAAATGGGGCTGGAGAGATGGCTCAGAGGTTGCTCTTCCGGAGGTCCTGTGTTCAATTCTCAGCAACCACATGGTGGCTCATAGCCATCTATAATGAGATCTGATGCCCTCTTCTGGCATACAGGTGGAACACCGTACATATAATAAATAAATTAATCTAAAAATGATATTAAAACAATTTTACTAATTTAATATTCAATTATCTGAAGGAATAATGATTTTAAAATCTATAATTTCTAAACTGCCACAAAAAGCCTTATATAGGTAATGGTTACATAAGGAACCCTACTGTATTCTTACTGAACTGCATAGAAAATACCAACATGTGATAGAAAGCAAGCCCATGCTAGATATGACCATACGATTTAAGATGGAAATGGAGTAAGAAAACCAAACCAAAAAACAAAAACAAAAACAAACAAACAAACAAACCAAACAAAAAAAAAACCGAACAACAAACAAAAATAACAACAAAAAACCCAAACACAAGTTAACAAAAGTTCAGAGTTAAGAGAAAGGAGACTTTGGGACATCACACAGGAGCAAGCGCTAGAGGTGTCAAAGGAAAGGTGAAAGCCAGAAGCATCTTTCCTTTGGACCCACATATTCTGTTCTCCATAATTATGCTAGGACTCTAAAGTGTTAAAGTCATATGAGCAGTCAGATGAAGACTCTCAAAAGAACAGTTTCTATGCTGAGTGTCTACTACATTCCAGACACTTAGGTTAGGCACCTGAATTACAGAAAATAATGTCTTTTTAACATTTAACAATAGGAAATAATTATTAACATCTATGTTGTATGTATGTCCACATTTTCTTTTGTATTATTAGTTATTTTTCTGTTGCTGTGATAAAATACCATGACCCAAAGCAACTTCTAGTTCATTTTAGCTTAAGTTCCAGAGGGTGAAGTCCCTCTGGAAGTCCATAGTGGTGAAGACTGCAGGAGCAGCTGGCCAGAGCACGAATCTGGCTGATTCACATTTTAGCTTAAGCTCCAGAGGGTGAGTCCATAGTGGTGAAGATTGCATGAACAGCTGGCCAGAGCATGAATCTGTCTGATCCACATTTTAACTGCACATAGGAAACAGAGAAATGGGTGGGGTGGGGTGGGGGTTATAAGCCCCAAAGCTGCCTACTTACAGTGTAGAGTCCAAAAACGCTGCACTCCTAAAAGCTCCATAACATCCCAGACAGAGCCACCAACATATCCAAATACGTGAACCTATAGAAGCTATTTCTCAAACACCAGACCATTCGTATACTGTGGGCTTTTTGGCTGGCTCTGCTGGTTACTATGAATGGCGGTACAATGATCATGTGAGCGCAGGTGTCTCCTTGAGGTGCTAATTTCACTGCCTTTGGGTCCTACAGAGGCATAGCTTGGCCATACAGTAGACTAATTTCTAGTTGTTGGAGGAACCTCCATATTCTTTTCTATAGACTGTCCTACTCGTATTTCTACTAGCAATGCACGAGAGTTCTGCACCTTCATTGTAGTTTGTCTTTTTTATAATAACCACTCTAATTGGGGATGAGAAGAAAACTCCCTGTGCTTTCCACTTGCATTTTTCTGCTGACTTCTCATGTTGAACATTTTTCACATACTTGTCAGCCAACTGTATGTTCAATGATAGGAGAGCATTAATCCAAAAAAGAGTGATATTCTGTGATCCATAGCAATAAGAGAGGGACTGGAGGACATTATGTTAACTAAAACCAACTAGCCACAGACAGAAACATATCACTTATTTCCATTCATATGCCGAGGCTAAGAATTGACCTTGTGGGAGTACAGAGTAGAACAAAGTGGGTATCATCAGCTAGAAATGGTGGGGTAGGCAGAAGGGTTGGGTAATGGGTATGAACATACATCTTGACAGGAGGAGTGAGTTCTAGTGTTCTATCACACAGTAGAGTCACCATAGTTTTTAACAAGATATCCCAAAAATATGCAGGAGTCTGAATGTTCCTAACACAAAGCTTATATTACACAAATATATCAAGGTATCACACTCTATCGTGCACAGTTATTCATCAATTAAAAATTAAAGACCAAAACCCAAAGCCCCTCTGTTGGAGGGATAGGACAGACGAAGGGGTAAATAGTCAGCTCTAAGTGACGACGGCAGTGACAGGCAGCGCTGACCAGATAGGCCTGCTAGCCCAGTGCACATGACTTTCCCAGCCCAGTTTCACCTCATTTAATGGAGAAACAGGGTGAAAGGTCAAACCCTCTCCTTACCAGAAGCACGGCAAATGCATTGTTCCTAAAATGCTGACCAAGACAAGACAGAGTGCAAAATCAGTCAACTGAGTATGAAGTCCAACCCTTGACACAGGACATGACACTGCATTTATAAAAACCACGAACTTGAACAGGAGACTGGAGAGAATTAGACAACAGCATGTCTTTGGCTACTTTTAAGATTTTAGTATTGACTGACAATACCAAATGATAATGCTAATCATAGCTAATGTCACATCTGTTTTTTTTTTTTTTTCCAAAGCATTAACTGACACCTGGTAGGATTCATAACATACTATCTGGAGGACAAGAAATTTGTATATACATCACAACTATCACCAAAGCACACAGGTGTTAGCACTAAGAACAATATAAGGCTCTATAGCCTTAGACAAAGGAGGATGTGGGCTACAGGCTTTAAGATGTTTCCATATTTTACAGACTCTTACAATTTGTGGTGACCCCCACACCCAGAGTCTCAAACTGGGCTCAGAAAAGCTACCTTGCTTCACTGACTTGCTCTTGTGTACATGAAGGCCAGCCTCTCCTGGCTGGTTGCTCCTGGGACAAAGACTGGTAGATGTAATATAAAATTCTGGATCATTAATGTGACAGATTCTGTGTTACCTGTGCGTTAACATAAGTAACAATGGGAGAGTGATAAACTAAACTGTCGACATTTACCCTTCTATTTTTTTTTTTTTTTTGCTTATATTGTATTCTGGAAGGAAAGCTTTCCTTCTGCTACCTTCTACTTCCTACATAATTAGCTCCCTAGATTAAAAGATGATCAGCATTCTTTAAAAATAGCCAGTTTTATATTCAGCATTGTTGGTCTCCTCAGAGATCATATCAAGAAACTCCATGTGTATTCATGGCTATCTCTGTTTTACAATACATTGGACTTTTAGTCTTCTAGAGGTTTCATGGATGAAAAATTACACTTTATAAAATTAAGGGTACTTATTACATGTGAACAGGCACACTTTTAGTGTCTCCTGGGAATGCAGGAGAGGTAGGGGTTGATGTGGCTTATGTCCCCATGGTTACATATCTTCTGTTAAAAGGTGATCACATCAACAGCTGTCAGGAACAGAGTTTTGGTTTTCACTGCCACTTAACTTGCCCCTTGGCTTTGGGCAAATCATTTTCCTCATGTGTAAAATGGCAGGTATGATGGTTTCAAATGCTCTTGTTGATCACAAAAGGCACTCTATGCAGCTAAAGTTCCCTGAAGAAAGTATCTCAACTAGCCTAGGTAAGAGCACAGGGTTTCTTCTTTTGTAAGCTCTTACTTACACTCTGGGTAACTAACGGCAGAAAAAAAACCTCATTCTGTGAAAATGCGTACTGGCTGACACGGACATGAGAGGCCCCTTCATTTTACAGAGCAGGGAACTGAACTTCAGAAGAGCAAGAATGGCCAAGATCTCAGTGCACATGGGAAGGATTTCGGAGATCATGAAGGCGGTGGGGAGGGCAGATGTATTACAGTCTGAGGGAGGCTTTCCCTAACTGGAATTGCACATGCACTAGACCAGAGCGCAGTCTTTTTCCCTCCTCCTCTCACACTGGGGATGGAACATAAAGCCTTGTGCATGTCTGACAGCCACATGGCCTATCACTGAGCCTCACCTTCCCACTCTCTTTTCCAATTACATTTATTTATGTTTTGTGTACATACACATGTGCCATGGAGTATGTAAGGAGGTCAAGAGACAGTTTGCCCAAGTTGGCTCTCTTCAGGCATCAAACTCTGGTTTTTAGGCTTGGTGGCAAGTGCCTTTGCCACCAAGGTGTTTCTTGAGCCCCAGAATTTCTCTTTCCAGGATGAAGAAAGTAAAGCTCAGAGAGCCTGGGACCTGGTCAGACTACAAATTGGAGAGGGATCTGGACCTAAAGCTGCCTCACTGGCCCAACCAGTCACCCACTGAAAATGGGTCTAAGGCCCCGATGGTCTGTGGCATGTTCCCTGTGGTTGTCTGTGTGTGCAAGAAGCCCACAACAGTGTGCAAAACAAGTCTGGTAGGTGGTGTTTCCCAAGGGTAGACCCGTGCTCTGTATGCTTCTCTTACAGCATGACCTGGACCTGAATGGAGACGCTCTCACTGCACCTGGAAAGGTCTGTGACTCTGAGCCTTACACCCTGACGGCAGAAGTGATACTGCATGACACGGGAGGCACTGTGACTTCTGCCTGGCTCTTTCTTGGGATTCCAGACCTGGGAAGCTGCCATGCTGTGAGGAAGCCTCAGGCTTGTGTGTTCTGGCTAAAAGCCCTGACTTGGCCCCTAGCTGCCAGCCAGCACCAGCTGCCAGCCAAGTGAATCCGAGTACTCTGGCGCCCAGCTTTCAGGTCTCCTAGCAGACTCTGCTCACCATGGAGTAATATGTATTTGTATTTTATGCCATTGTTGTATTTCTGACCTGCAGAAGTAGAGTGTGGTATAAATAAAGACTGTTATCACAATCCACCAAGTTCAGACCGGGAATTTATTACACAACAATAATGGGTATATACAATCCTTGGATTAATAGTTTTCATCACACTTTTTATCTTCACTTCTACTATTCTTCCATTCCACACATTCTTCCACTGTTAATGGAGAAAGTGAAAAATCCATCTGTTTAAATGGTTTTCTCCTTAAAATTTGAAAAACAACATCCTTTGTATCAAAAGATAATGTTACATCTCTTTGGGAATCTAGCCACACCCATATTTTAAGAGTGCAATACACAACAGTAGCCCAGTCATTTTCTGTTTTATAAAGTCTTTATTTATTACAGAGTCCCTAGGCATCTTGCCCTCCCCAGCATATCTCATAGGCTGCACGGTAAGTGCCATCTTCAGTGATATGTCAACATCCCTTTATGCTCCTATTTGACCCTGGCTCACTGTGGTCTAAAAGTTGTGTATTTTCTATTCACATTTCATGAGCCTCCAAGGAGTGCAGATGCCACATGTATTGCTTAGAGCAGAAAAGACCAGTATGTAGCCACTTCATGTTCAGCATGGCATCAGGGTGATGCTGATTGACTTGAGAAGGCTCAGGTGAGATCTGTTAGTGCACTAAGGCCTGTAGTGGCCACAGTGAAGAGGCCAGGAACTGCACTGCAGGTAGACCTTCTGTGGCTAGTTGTAGGGAGGTTTCTCTGGTGATGTTCAGGATTCTGACCTTACTGATATAATATATTGGTGATGGAAGGCCAAAGTTACTGAGAGGTTGAGAGTCACAACAGCAAGACCCATTTATAAGGACAAAGTGTGTAGGTCTTTAACCTTGAGGTGCTGGCTGGCATGGGGACTTAGTCTAGAGGGCTCAGAGACAGCACAGAGCTAAAAAGACAAGAGGGAGAAAGTGCCTTTGTCATCATTCTCTGTTCTGTCACACTTCTAGAGTGTAAAGATATCTCTCAGAAATTCTTAAAAAATACAAGGCAATTAGCTTTCATTGTGTGTGTGTGTGTGGGGGTTGCCTCAGAAAAACATGAATGCTAAAAAGCTATCTGAATAGGGTTTTGTGTGGTAGGGGCATACCCAAAATACGAACTAGTAAGAATTTACCAACATAAAACACTTTTGGCCAGCAGATGGCAGTAAAGGACCTTGGAAGTGATTGCAGCAGTGGGTTCTGAAATGCTGGCAGGTAGCTCTTAACAGCTATTGTATAAGTGATTTATGTATTTGGATTCTGCTCAATGTTATATATGCATTGCTGAATAAAACATTCACAGTGTATTTTCCAGCAGCAGCTGAGCTCCAATTCCAAGGTTCTGAGGCCTAATTCCCAAGGCTCAAAGGAGCCCCTGACATCAAATTGCTTTTCTTCCCTGAAGAGCTGCTCCATACCCCAGAAAAAGAAATGCTTTGAGCTAGGGAGAGAGATCTGATGTGACCACATCGTCAGATCAGCTTACTGAGTACGTGTGAGGAAAAGCAAATGCCTGTCAGGCAGTTTCCTTGTGGCTAAGTCGTCTGGGGCCTCCCCATGCTGGCTGTTCCCTAATTTCCTTCTGAATGATGCTTCTCAGCACACCTCACTCTCTGGCCTTGGGAGAGGGAATGCCTGCCTTAGTTTGCACAAGGAAGAGTAGCTTATTTATGAGACTCATGCCAATTAAACGTCTTCTTCACAATTTTCTCCACCGTTTCCACAGAATCCCAGCTACCTACAGCCATGGGAGCTGGGAAATCTCTTATTGTTCCAAGCACCGTGTTAGAATCAACTAAATTCAGGAGCAGGGATCTGTTTGAGTATGTATGGCACTCAACTTTGAGGCTCAAGGCCTTCTCTGTTGGGCTGCAGCAGTTGACTTCTCTGGTGCCTGGCATCATACGAAATGTGATGGTCACAGGTGCTAGAATAGGCCACAAGGCCAATGGTGAGCCTCAACTAGATGGACAGGCTCCCAGAGAATTAAACATGTTTTATTTAGAGCATGAGAGGAAGAAAGTCAGGCGCTCTCCTCTAGCAGGGAAACAGCATCTAGAAATCAGGAACGACCAGGTATGTCCCTGTGGGAAACACCAATCTAGGATTTCAAAAATTCGCCTGATAGGCAGAGTCACGTGTATTTATACTTACACAAAGGAAAGGCAATTCCACTTGGCTATCAGCGTTAACAGTTCACACCTGACCATTTCCTGTAGGCCAGGTGAGTGCCAACCAATCTTAATGAATGCATTATTACATACGGCTTGTATGGCTGTTCTACATTGTTGGTCCTATTAGCAGGAGGGGGAAACTGAGGGTTAGGCAATGCCTTAATTTTAAATGGCTAATACGCAGGAGTCAGGCCTGAAATGGGGTGAAAACTAAGACCCAGAGGCTTCCTGACTCCTGCCAGTGCTCTTCATCACCATGACAGGGAGGGTGATAGCTGTGGTATTTCTCAGTGACAGCTAACGCTTTCTTGTCCACAGAGTTTAAAAAAAAAAAAAAAAAGCTTCATCTACAGGGGAAGCAATTGGTGGGGGGAAGAACTCACCGGAGAGATGGCTGTGAAGGAGCAGAAAATTCATTTCATGCCTTCATTCCTCATGCATATTGATAGGCAATGCTACAGAATACCAGAAACCCACCAAGACGCCTTTAATAAATATTTACCACCTGTGGTCTCATTTATCCCCATGGCTTCATTACCAGTGCTCTCACAGTATTGACTGCTAGATCTATACTGCTTGACCAGAGCTGTTTCTTGACCCCCCTCACCCAGCATAATCAACATTTATCTTATCCCTATCACCCCCACACCCCTTTTTCTTCCCTTCTGCCAGCACTCAAATGAGCTCTGCATTGGTTCTTCTACGTGGAAATTATGCTTCTATTATCAACTCTCTACAATTACATTTTCTTGGTTCTGCAATTTCTCTAACACATATATTTTCTATTATCACTTCACTGCCTAAAATGTTTTAATTCCCTCTCACTGCATATGGTGCTTCCAGCACTGTTTTCCGACCTGCTTGCCTGGGCGAGCACAGGACGGCTCACCCACCCCTGTATCACTGCTTGCTAGTTTAATGGCTCAGTGGTAGCGTCCTCACCCTCTTCAGTCCTAGTAAACAAACGCCTGTGACACTGCTGAGGCTGCCTCGACCATGCCCTGCCCTTAGTATTAGATTTTACTAGGAACAAGGGCCTGGGTCAGGTATAATATTCATCACACAAAAAGCCTCTGAAGGAGGTACCATCATCTTCATGTTTATCAGTGAAAACTGAAATGCAAGGGTCTTGTCCAGGGTGACAGCCAGGATTCAAAAACAAGTGAATGCTTCACTAATCCACCAGGCAATACCTGCTGTATGTACTGAATATAGGCTCCCAGACCCCTTGTAATGGACCCACTCTCGCAGATGATGCTACTGATGACCCATTCTTGGCTGTTCCCTTTCTATTTCTGCTTTCCCTGAAAAGTGCTAGGATGTTTAGTCTCCCATGTGCCCCAGGGAAGTCCAGTCTCTCTGCAGCTCTGCGTCATGAGTCTCGACTGACACAACTGCTAATGAAACTAGTGAAGAGGGCACTGGTGTTGTGACCCCTGGAAAATCTTTATCCCCCTTTAGAGGACATAACCAGGCTTTTAAAAAAACTACACATGGTATATGTGTATTGAAATGTCACAGTCTTCCCCAGAATTAAGAATGATTACTATGTGCCGTAGTGGAGCTGTTTCTTCTGTGCTAGAGCTGCTGTGGTGACCTCCACAAGCCTGAGCACAGGCATGGTGCTGAAACAAGCACTCGCATGTTGATAGTGGGGTCTACAGCAACGACAGGGCTCTGGCCGTTGCTGTGTGGAAGGAGTGCGCAGGTAAGGAGACCTCACTGGAGGGTGGTTCCTTCCTTCCCCAGCTGCTGCCAGAGAACACAGGAGGTGGAGGGTTGACTGGGGACGTCTTCATGGTGTAGCTGCGTATTTTGTGCATGCTCCTGTAAATAACCCTAATAAATCCATTGGTTCACTAAGCGGGACTTGGATAGAATCCCATTCTAGGTGAGCTGGTGCCCTCTTTAGTAATGGTGAATATGTATACCCAGGAAAACTCAGACAACATGTGTCAATTAAAGCAAATCATAAAAGAATACAGGAGTCATGGATTTTTCTGTTTTCACTGATGGATATTGTTAAGTTGAAGCCACCAGGTCTCCAATATTAACTATCCCAAGGCTTGATAGCCTAGAAAACTGTTCTTATTCTTATTCAGGAATTTGATGGAGGAGAGGGAGAGGGCAGACCACTGTTTCTTTGGACCAATTTTTAGAAAAGCACCTAGTTTAGTGTGAATGCTCTTGTCATCGTTTGTCCTCTGGAATCATGCTGTGACCTGCTCTGAGTTATTGCCCTGATGTAAGGTATTCTGCATTGTGGGAAACAGTGCTTTTTACAGTCCTTTCAGACTGTGCCCTAGCTGACTCCACTTTACAAAGCAGCAGTTGGCTCCATTTTGAGTGCAAATGCTGAGGCAGAATGACTTTGCATCTTATCTGTGCAGACACTACCACAAGTGACGAGAAACTTCTTCATGTAGGTAAAAGTGTTACCCAACCTGAAGGAGACTGGGGGCACACAGGTGCTGGCTACAAAAATTCTATCAGAAAAGCCTGGTTCATGACACCAAAGCAGAGCAACTTCTTCACTTGGATAACATAGGAAGAGGGATTACCCAGTGCTGCGATAGTGAGGCCCTCCACCAATCCGTCACCTGACCATCTGGTGCCTGTCAAGGCACTGACAGAAAACTCCTGGCTGTCCCTAGGGCTTCAGCTCACTATGTTCCCTGGGCTTTATGTGGTCCACTTGAGTTCTGACAGTCCATTCACCTATGCACCTGGACCTGGTCCTATGTTTTGCTTCAGTGGTCCTGCACTTGAGGCTTTGGGTACCTAAGCGGCTCTCAAACTGGATTCCTCAACAGTTTATCTAATCTTACCCAGGACTTTTTGTTTGCATTCCATAGCTC